TACGCAGCAACAATCGAGGTTGGGAAATAAAATAAGGTGTCCTACCTTGCAGACGATTCTGTTCTTTTTTTTTTTTTTCCTTTGGTCCCGGGTCGTTCTGAGTTCTGTTTGAATTTTCAGCAACGGCGGTCGATCGTGGTCTTCTCAGGGTTGAAATCCCTCGGTCACAGCACCATATGTGACGTGGTTGTCTCAGGGTTGATCCGTTGGTCACGGCACCATATGTGACGGGTCTACACCTGGCCCAGGGTCGAATCCTTTGGTTACGGCGCCAACTGTGACGTCGCTCCTCCTGGTCGCTCCTCCTGGTTCCAAGCGTGCCGCTCCAACCCTTTGGTTAGATGATCACCAGCCTCGCCTTTCCCAACCCGCTTCCAATACCTGGTTACTGAAGCAACTGTACTGATCTCCGGTCTGTCTACCCACGCTGTGTTTAGATCTTAGACAGACGGGACCAGCAGGGATTGGGGCCGACATGTTGAGTCCGACGGGGGTGGCAAAACACAAGTAAAAAAGAAAAAAACTCACGAGACAAAAATTACTGATAAAAAAAAAAAGGGTGACAACCTTTTTATCTAATGTCCGTTACATAAAGAAAAATTGTTCTTATTTCCTGACCCGCTCTGTGGACTATGGCACCAAGCTTCTATCATACAACTTAAAGATTTCGAATTGCCTACTCTTTAGAATTATGTATGTAGGAGTGTGGTCTAGTTCGACACTGGGGCTAATTTCTGTCAATCATTCGCAGTTGATTCTTCTCTTCGACTTGAGTTGTATTTCTTCACTTCGATCTGGTTTGGTCGAATTCTGATCTCGGCTTGGCTTGATTTCAACTTCTTCTTCTTCCGTCCAGCAACTCTTTTCTGTCGACTGAGGTGGAACTGATTTGCTTGTTTGGTCTGCAACTTTACTTCTTGTCTGGCCTGCAACTCTTCGGCCTGTCTTTGACTCGGCTGCAACTTCTCTGCGGCTTTCGAGTAATCTTCTTCTTCGTCGACTTAGATGGAACTTCTCTTGTCTTCGACTTGGGCTGGAAGGATTTCTTGTTTTCGACTTGGGCTGGAAGGATTTCTTGCCGCAACTCAGCCGCAACTCTCTGTCGTCCGAGGTGGTCTCTTCTCGCTGCCGTCTGGGGCTGAACTGATTTTTGTCGATTGGGGCCCTGCTTTTTATTGACGCCGCAGCAAACCAGGGGTGGGTCTGTCGGCGTCAGGGCTCTCGATAATTTCAAAAGTCGCATTACTTCTGATTTCCATTATCGCTATTATTTTCACCCCTACTTCCTCATAGTGCCTTTTGGTGGGAGGCGCATATCCATCTCTCCCGGTCCCCGCATGTCAGGTGACCGCTTTCGACCAATGGTTCCTGATCGAGCATTTTTTCTTTTCTTTCCGCAGCCACGTGACCGTTTTCGGCTAATGAGATTCTGGTTGGGCGTTCTCCTGTCTCCAATCGGGGCGGGGCTTATATCGTTCTTGTTCTAAAAAACAAAATCTAATTTGGCCTTTTTTTTTCGCACGTACGAAAAATGATAATCTTGGCTTTTTCTCACCTGGGTTCTGTCAAAACAGCCTGCCGCTAATTAGATGTGACTTCAGGAAAGAATATTGGCGCTATCTGTGAGCCGAGACATTCGCCTTCTTCACCTCTTTGTTTTTTTTTCGGTCAGACCTGATAGTCAAAATCTTAATTATCTACATTGAAAATGTCTCCACTTTATTATCGCGGGTTTCCAATTCTTAACAGGTCAGAATCTGTATACAGTTCCACCGGTCACCCCTCAACCTAAAAAAACACTTTTTCTCCGATTAAAAATTTCGTTTCTATTGTTCTAAAAAAATTTCCCTTTCTCCAAATTGATAATGAGTCTTTCTACGCAAAAGTAGGCCAGATGCTTTGACCGATATTCTTATCAATCGCCAATACACTGTCATCAAGCCTGGTCCTTTCTCTCTCTAAATGACTTTTCCTTCTAAATAACAAATCCCATTGTCTTTTCGAAAATCGGCCAAGATGTTGGCCTAAATACCTTTCTGATACGTGTTTTTGTTAATGACCGCTTTTTGTATTTCTCGACCTCTCTCTTTCTTTTTCTTTTTTTTTTTTTCTTCCTCTTTCTTTTCTTTTTCTTTTAGGATCGTCTAAGTACAACTTAGTGAATTATTTTCAACTCAATTATTTTTCGTCTAAGAAAAATTAACAACCTGTTTAATAAACCGAGTAAAAAAAAAATTAAATCATATTTCTATGAATATTTCTAATAATGCAAGGTGCCACATATCAATAAATTATTATTATCCCATCCAAAAAATAAAAATTCTTAAAATCTAAAAATATATTCTGGTTTTAAATAAACTGCAAAGGGTTGATAACTGGTAAAAATGCAATCACTGAATCTTATTTTGAATTATTTGGGAAGCGAGAAGAAAATATATCAGAAGCAAGTGAATAGCCAGATAAATATCTGCGTCTTGACATAGAAATGGTATGAAAACATTATGAAGAGGAAATCAATAAAAAGACCGTTTGAAATTGAAACAATTTGTCCCGTCTAGACACGGAAGCCGAACAAAATATGGCAAAGTAAAAGACAACCTGTCAGATAGTAAACATCACTGCCCAGGCAAACTTCAGATTAAAGTTGAATGACTGCGAAAAAATCTTTTTACAATGATCACCCAGTACAATACCCCAGAGACTCTTGAGGTAGAACGTTACGGAGTAAGAGGCACAGATTATGCGAGTATGTGGGGAAGATAACGGCTGACTCTAGACTTGAACAGGTTAAGATGGTAGTGATCAGGGAAGCATCCTCTTTGGGGACGGTTCCACAAAGCAGCGGTTCGTGGGAAGAAGCCGTTCGAGTAGAGCTTATATTTCACCAAAAGATTACGAAAGGAATGGTGGTGGTTCGCTGCAGTATGCCTAGCATGGCGGGTCTTAATCGTGAAGATTAGAACTTGTGAAACGAAAGAATATAGTTCTTCTGAGCACTTTCCATGGAAATAGCGATAGAAAAGCAAGAGACTAGAGACGATTTGTCTGTGAGAAAGGGTGGGAAATAATTCGTCACCGGCAAGGAAGTGGTGACGCTTTTAGACTCTATCGTGACTGAATGTGAAGATATTTTTTTTCAGAGAAATAAGCAAGTAGAAAATTGTAAATATCTAGGATGTGTTATAACAGAGGATGGAAAATGCGACGCCGAAATTCGAACGCGCATTGGAATAGAGAAAGATGTCTTCCAAAAGCTAAGCAAAGTATTAAGAAACAGGAAAATTTCGATAGAAACAAAGAAAATAGTACCGAACTTTTATGCAATATCGTTCTTCCTATATGGCAGTGAATGCTGGACAGCAACTTAATGAAACGGAAATGTGGCTGAATGATTGATTCGTTTGTTTAAAGGCACATCAACTCCTTATGGGTCATTGAATGCTGGAATTTAATTTTCATGGGAGCTTTATATACGTTATTCTTCTTTCACAATTAAATACATGGTAGATAATAATCAGCATTTGTGCATATATATATATATATATATATATATATATATATATATATATATATATATATATCTGTGCCGACATAATTACTAAAAGTCAGTGGTATTGTAATTTTGTTGAAGTTATACTTTGGAATACAATTTGATTTCTTTAAGAAATTGTAGGATATTATATGGATTAATGGATTAGGATATTATATGGATTAATGTTACGAAAGAGTTCTTTTATGTTGGTTGTTTGGTTGGTTGATTTTGTTTAGCGGCATATCAACACCTCTAATGCCGAAATTTAAATATTTTGTACGTAATTTTATGCTTTCAACTAGAGAAAGTAGTGAAGGAAAGCGAGAAGAAAAGACTAAGCGTTAATTACAAGAATATGTAAGGATTGTTTGTTAGCAAGACAATGAACCAAAGATACAAATTCGAGATACCAAAATCAAACAAGTAGAATAATTTAAATATCTGGGAAGTGTTTTAACACAGGAAGGAAAATGCGACACTGAAATCCGAAGGCGTTTGGGATGGCGAAAGATGCCTTCCAAAAGCTAAGCAAAATATTAAGACATAGGAATATTTTGTTAGAAATAAACAAAAGAGTACTGAACTTGTGTAATATCAGTCCTCATCTCTGGCAGTAAGTGCTGGATGATCTTCTCACAGATGAAGAAGAGACTTGAAGCAACAGAAATGTGGTTCTACAGTAGGATGCTGAGCAACGATGAAATTTGAAAGAAAATGAAAGCAAAAAGGACATTTATATTTAGCATCAGAAAGAGACAGTTGAAATTTCTAGGGTACACAATGAGGAAAGACGGCTTGGCGAATTTGGCACTCACAGGACCTACTGAAGTTCGGAGGGACGGAGGAAAGCTTGTATAAATGGTTGATAAAATAGGGAATAGCAGATATAGCAAAAAGACAAGACTTATTAAGAGCTTTAAAATAACAGGGTGTTGTGGAGAGCCATGATCGCACACATCCTGAAGGGATACAGCACATAGAAAAAAAAATTGAAGGTGAATATTATACCCAGGATTGCAGGCATGCTTGAAATAGCCACAAAGAGACTTGAAAAGAGACTGGAAAAATTAAGAACAGAGGAAGAATTGAAACTGGGAAGAAAAAAGATTATAAAATATAAATGTTGATAAGACTTGTTGTCACTTGATCTTCTGTGGAGTCAACATATATTAAATAGTAATTTAAACTAGTGTACGTGATTCGTTTGTAAGAAAACTGCAAATGACAGGGCTAAATATGAATGCTAAAACGTAATGAAAAAAAAAAAAAAAAAAGAAGAAAAATCTCCAATAATTACAAGGATTCAATTCTCGGATTTCTTTTTCTTACTTTTTCAACTTTTTTTGCAGTGAAAACTTTTAATTCGCCTTTCAAATTTTATCTATTATTTTTTCCTATCATTTTCTTTCTTTCTTTCTTTGCTTCCAGCTATTTACGTTTTATCTTTCTTTCTTTCGTTTGCTTTCAGATGTTTACATTTTTCTTTCTTTTCTTTTCTTTCTTTCTTTCTTTCTTTCTTTGCTTCCAGCTATTTACGTTTTATCTTTCTTTCTTTCGTTTGCTTTCAGATGTTTACATTTTTCTTTCTTTCTTTCTTTCTTTCTTTCTTTCTTTCTTTCTTTCTTTGCTTCCAGCTATTTACGTTTTATCTTTCTTTCTTTCGTTTGTTTAGATGTTTTTTATTTTTTCTTTCTTTTTTGTTTCTTTTTTCAGGAATTTTCTTTCTTTTCTTTCTTTCTTTGTTTTCTTTATTTACGTTTTGTTTTCTTTTTCTTTCGTTTGCTTTCAGATGTTTACATTTTCTTTTTTTTTTCTTATTTTTTTTTCTTTTTTTGCTTTTTTTTTTTTTTCCTTCTATCTTTACGTTTTTTTTTTTTTTTTTTTTTGATTTTCTTTCTTTCTTTTCTTTCTTTCTTTCTTTTCTTTCTTTTCTCCTTTCTTTCAACTGTTTTATTTTTTTTCTTTTTTTTCTTTTGAAAATTTTTTTTTCTTTCTTTGTTCTTTCTTTCTTTCTTTCTTTTTTCTTTTTTTTCTTTTCATTTAGCTATTTTTTTATCTTTTTTCTTTCGTTTTTTTAGATGTTTTACATTTTTATGTTTTCTTTTTTCTTTTTTTTTTCAATTTTCTTTTTTTTTTTTTCTTTTATGCCATTTCTTTTTGTTTAAAAAAGATTTTTTCTTTTCTTTTTTTCTTTCTTTTTTTTTTCTTTGTCTTTTTTTATCTGTTTTTATTTTATTTTCTTTTTTCGTTTTTTGACGTTTTTTCTTTTTTTCTTTCTTTCTTTTTTTTATTTTTGTTTTTACGAATTGTTTCATTCTTTTTTTTTATTTTTTTTTTTTTCTTTTTTTTTTCTTTTTTTTTCTTTCATTTTTCTTTTCTTTTCTTTCTTTTTTCTTTTTTTTCATATTTTTTTTTCTCTTTTTTTAATCTTTCAGATGTTTACATTTTTTTCTTTCTTTTGTTTTTTTTTTTTTTTCTTTCTTTCTTTCTTTCTTTTATTTTGCAGTTGTTTTATCTTTCTTTCTTTCGTTTCTTTTGTTTTACATTTTTTTTTCTTTTTTCTTTTTCTTTCTTTCTTTTTCTTTTTTATTTCGTTTTTCTTTCTTTATTTTTATTTTCAGATTTTTTTCTTTTTTCTTTCTTTTCTTTCTTTCTATTTCTTTTTTTTTTATTTACGTTTACTTTCTTTCTTTCGTTTAAATATTCTTTCTTAAGAAACTTTCTTTCTTTTTTTCTTTCTTTTCTTTTTTCTTTGACGTTTACGTTTTAAAGTTTTCTTACTTTCCTTTTTAGATGTTTTGATTTTTTCTTTTTTTTTTTTTTTCTGGTACTTAGTTTTTTCTTCTTTTTCTTTCTTTCTTTTTATTTCAACTGTTTAATTTTTTAATTTTTTCTTTCTTTTGCTTTGAGCTGTTCTCTGCTGCTTATATATTTTTCGTCATTTATTTTCTCTTTTTACTTTCACCCGTTCATGTCTTTTTTAGTTTCTTTTTATGTTATTCTTTTTTCTTTCAATTTTTCTGTTTCCTTTTTTTTTCTTTTTATGCCATTTCTTTTTGTTTTTCTTTCGCTTTCTTTTCTTTTTGTCTTTCTAATGCCATAAAGGCTGTCTCTTTTTATCTGTTTTTATTTATTTTATATTTTTGACGTTTTTATGTTTTTCTTTCTTTCTTTTTATTTTGTTTTTGAATTGTTCTGCTTCTTTCTTTTTTCTTTATTTCTTTCCTTTTTATTTTTGTTTACCTTTTTCCTTCATTTGTGTTCTTTTATATTGTTGTTACTTTACTGTTTTCTCTTTTTTTAATCTTTGATTTGGTTTTTCATCTTTCTGTTTATTTTTGTTTTTCATCTTTCGTTCTATCTTTATTTTGCAGTTGTTTTGCATTTTTCTTTCTTCTTTTTTGTTGTTTTTCATTTTTCTTTTCATTTTCTTTTGTTTTTTCCTTCTTTCTTTCTATATTTTTATTTTGTTTTTATTTAACGTCTTTCTTTCTATTTTGCTTTTGTTTTCTTTCTGAACTGTAATCAGTTAAATATTCTGGTTAAGAAACCAACCTAATGATATTAAGCAGACGTCTAGAAAGCATTAGTTAAAATTGAGATCAGAGCGCCAAGTTCAAATTCTGACCAATGATGTTGCATTTACCTTTGTAGAAATAGCCTCGAGAAAGGTAGGAATCCATCTCTTCTGCCAGCTATATGTCAAAGAGCCGCGGGTAGATTTGCCTTTTTAGCCTTGGATAATCACCATTATAAGAAAAGGAAAACTCTGAATTTCCAAAGAATGCAGAAAGAAATGGGAAACCACTCTACTATTTTTCCTTAGAACACATGGCAGTTCAGAGATAATAAAAAAACAAATCTGTGGAGAGCAATGATCATCTCTGTCCTGAAGAGAGATGATGTTTATTTTAGGAATGAGAAAAGTGAATATGAAGGTAGAAAGGTAGGAATTAACAAAGTTAGAAAAACATATAAAGGAAACCAAATGAAAGGAAAAAAATACATATAAAAGGGCGTTGCTGAAATTCTGTTTTTGTTTTCTTCTTTCTTTTTATTTTGTTTTTGTTTTCCATCTTTCTTCTTTTTTATTTTGTTTTATTTTTTTGCTTCTTTCTGTTTATTTTGTTTTTGTTCACCATTTTACTTCTTTTTATTTTTTGTTTTGTTCTACTTTTTTTTGTAATTTTATTTTGCTTTTGTTTTCCTTCTTTCTTTCTGTTTTTTTTTGTTTTCCATCTCTCTTTTTTATTTTATTTTTAGTTTTTCTTTCTTTTTTGTTTTGTTTTCCTTCTTTTTTACTTAATTTTATTTTGTTTTTGTTTTCTTTTTTCTTTTATTCTTTTTTCTGTCTTGTATTTATTTTCTTTCTTTTTTATTTTGCTTTCCTTCCTGCTTTATTTTTTTCTTTTTATTTCTGTTTTCCTTCTTTTTTTTCTTAATTCTATTTTGTTTTTGTTTTCTTTCTTTTTTCTTAATTCTATTTTGTTTTTGTTTTCTTTCTTTTTTCTTAATTCTATTTTGTTTTTGTTTTCCTTCGTTCTTTGTCTCTTTTTATTTGGTTTTTGTTTTCCATCTTCCTTTTTATTTTTTTGTTTTCTTTTCCTACTCTTTTTCTTAATTTTATTTGGTTTTTGTTTTCTTTCTTTCTTTTCATATTTATTTTGTTTTTCATCTTTCTTTTTATTTTGTTTTGTTTTCCATCTTTCTATCTTTTTTAGTTTTCCATTTTTCTTTCTGTCTTTCTTTTTCTTTTGTTTTTATTTACCTTCTTTCTTTTTTCAGTTTTTTCTTTTTATGCTATAATTCTTTCTTTCTTTCTTTCTTTCTTTCTTTCTTTCTTTCTTTCTTTCTTTCAGTTTACTATTTCTCCCCCGTTTCTTTCTTTCTTTCTTTCTTTCTTTCTTTCTTTCTTTCTTTCTGCGCTACCGTTTCTTTTGGACAAGCCTTTTTCCCTGTCTTTTTGTCAGTATTTATTCGAAACACAATTTTCCTGTCTTACAGTTTTGTTGTGTGATCCGTTTACTTGTTTCTAAGATAAACATCACCAATTAAGGAAACATTCAATTTCTGTTCAGCTTTTTACTTTTTTATTTTTCATAATTTTTACACGCCAACAAAAGAACGAAGCCTCCAGCCATCTTTAGTATGTAGAAAAAAAAATGAAGGAAGATGGTACAACCTTATTTTCATTTGTACCTAGTTATACATACTTTATTGCCATTTTTCCCGCTTTGGAAGCTTCATTACCAAAATGGAACATAAAATAAAATGGCGGTCAAAGAAGGCGTTGATTTGGATTGAAATCATAAAAGATGCAAAAAGAATAAAAGCATAATATAAAAACAAAATATATAAAAAAAGAAACGAACAAAAAATAACAGGATGAAATATGATATATAATATATATACATACGGGCAAGACGTTTAGATATTCAGGGTGGTCCGAAAGTCTTGACACCCTCTACCTCTCTTCCAAACTGTAGGAACTCATGTCAGCCATCTGAAATAAAAAAAATTACATTATACAGAGGTGACAAGACTTTCGGACCACCCTGTATTTAAACGACATTTTTAATCAAACGAGAAAAATGTAACGTTTTGTATCAATTGATTTAAGTTTTGTTTAACTTATATGATAAAATTATACTTTATGTTACGGATTCTTGGATCTCAATCAGAAGGTTTAAAAAATGAATCTTTATCGTCAGTCAAATCCAGACATGACGCCATGTTGCCTGTGTCTGCATAAGCTCACAAGTCTGTGTGAGAAAGAAAGAAAAGGAAAGTGAAGCTTCAAAATTCTTATCATGAAGGCAGAGTGAAAAAAAGATTGAGAAAATTACAGAAAATAATGAAGTAACAATAAATGTCTGTATCAAAAAATTTGACAAGACAAAATGGCGGAAGGGAAACGTTTCAAAATTCATATAGAACTAAGTTAATTGCAGATGTCTTAACTATTAACCCCCCACCACCATAGAATCAGTGAAGCCCTTGATAATAAAAATCTCTATAGAGTGATCGCTCTAGATTTTTTTAAATCGAATTTGCTCCTAGCAAGGCAGTAAAGCCACTAAGACACAAGATGTTACTGGGTGTGGAAGAATTAGAAAAGGGAAAATATTATGAAATAGCGAGAACAGAAGAGTAATCAGGACAGTAGATAGCGATTGACATTGCATTTAAATTGTTGAAGTTGGCCGGAAAGCAAGGAGTCGGAAGAGAGTTTTACAAGCGAGAAGTGTGAGAAAATAAACTGTTAGCATAGAACCTACGGTTACACCCAGCCATCTCAACTGTAAATTGATGAGACCTAACTGCCAATCTAGTACTGCTCTTAAATTAATAAAGTTTTTGTACGGTAGCAAGGATCTCACCCGAATAATTACCATGAAAGTATTTATCGAAAAGGCACAGAGAGGCAACTTTACAGTACCTTTTACCGGTGGGAAGTGACTGAAGCCAAAACAACAGGTCAGGACCAATAATATTGCTGATTCTTCTTTGGATTTCATCATGAATCTCTAATTATACAGCAGGAGCACCGGACTATATGAGGTAGCAATATTCGAAGCATGGACAAATAGTAGACTTATAGATATGTAAGATAGATTCTGGCGAGAAATATTGTCTCGCACGGCACAGTGAACCAATTTTCTTAGCAGCCGACATAGCAATAGATTCATTATAGTCTTTCCATCATGTCAGCCGAAAACATTAACTCAAGAAAAAGCAACTATTCACTGTCCTGGAGGTTAGCATCACCATGCCGATGGAAGGCAGAAAAAAGTCTCTCAGATGATTAATAGAGAGAAGTTTGGTTTTGGAGACGTTTAAATTAACATGCCATTCCCTGCCCCTGTTAACAACAGACCAAAGGTTGTTTTGGATATCAGCTGTCAATTTGACCTTATTGAACTGATCAGCCTTACTATCGAGACAGAAGTAAATGATTGCGTCATCAAAATAGATACCAATTTCAGAGCTGATGCCATCGGGAGGTTCGTTAAAGAAAATGAAAAACACAGTAGAACCAAGCATAGAGCCCTTGGGGACACCCGCATTAGTACAGAAGGATCTAGAAGAGTGGCCGTTCAGGATAACTTTCATTTGACGATTTCAAGAAAGACTGAATCAGTTCAAAAATATGTTCGGAGACACCGTCACTAGATATCTCGAAAGCCTTTGATAAGGTGTGGCACAGGAGATTACTACACAAACTGACCAGTTGCGTAATCTTTAGGAGAACCGTCTCAGTCTTTTCTACCAGGGTCGTTGTTAAAGGTCAGACCTCATGAGATTACTCTGCTGGTGCACCCGAAGGCTCCTTCCTTAGTCCTACACTCTTAGAAAATATCTAACTCCCTTTGCCATGCTCTATGTTCATAAGAGTCAGATCAAGTCAAGAGTGGAGTACTGTTGACATATCTAGGCTGTTGCTGTCCAATCCTCATTGTCCAGCATTGACAGAATTCAAAAGCGCTTACGCGGCCTTTTGGGTGATGAATTATTCTTCACCCTGCAAATTCCACAAACGTGACGACGCCAGCTGTTTTCTTTTTGTATCACAACTACGATATTAATGCCACCAGCTTGGATCTTCACGGCTAGGACCCGTCAGTCCATGTTCACGTCGGCAAACCATCATCACTCCTTTCGAGTTCATTTGATAAAAAGAAAGTCCCACTCAGACAGCTTATTTCCCAGAAATGTTACTTTGTGGGACAAGCTCCCGAGATAATGCTTCCCTGACAACTAAAATCTTTGTTAGCTTAAGTCCAGAGTCAACCGATATATATCCTAGTCGTCCTTATAATTTTCTCCTACTTCTTCTTCTTTCATTGCAATCTCACTTAGTAAACCTCTACCTTGAGTGGCTCTTGGGCCTCATTGAACTATCAATAAATAAAAAATCATTGCGCGTGCTCGCGTGCACACACGCTCAAACATGTGCGCATATATATTGGTAGACATCTTCATACATATGAATATACTCACACCCACAGCCGCTCAAGTATATGTAAGAAAAATTACCACATATTTACACTTTAGTACAGACACACACGAATGTATTCAGCTAATTAATATTAATGAATATTTGGCCTACCTAGGGTAACGGTACAATAGTCATTTTCAAAATATCCCTCTTGAGACCTAACACACTTATTTTAGCGTCCCTTTCATTTTTATCAAAACATTCTGCTAAGCCTCTTTTAGGATTGTCATCAGCTGCCTTGTCAAGTTCTTCTCATTCACGTCTATTGTTTTCCGACTCATGTTAGTTTGAGAAAAAGAAAAAAAAAAACAAAACAAAACAAAAAACAAAACAAAACACACACAAAAAAGAAGAGAATTTATCGGTGGGACACGCTTCTTGTCCATCTATCGTTCTCTGACACAGCGCTACCAAAAAAAAAAAAAAAAAAAAAAAAACAACCCCCTCCAAAAAAACAACCCCTCCCCCCAAAAAAACAAAACAAAACAGAAACAACAACAACAAAAAAACAAAAAAAAAAAATCAAAAAACGAAACAAAAAACTTAGCATTCTTGTTGTTAGCATTGATCTTCTGGGCCATCGTCTATAGACACCCCCCAGTATGCGTGGATATAATAAGATTTCACGAGGATTTTGCCCAGTGGTCGTTTTGATTACTGCTCAGAATTTAGGTGTGAAACACGGCAAGCCGTGGTAAGTTCTTTGTCTACTGAAAACCAATATCCCAGAACAAATCAACACACTCTGTTGATAATTGACAATAGATCTAATAAAAACAAAATAAGGAGTAAGGTATTTTTTAATCTTTCTATGTTGCCTGATTGACGATCTTTCGACAAGAAACTTAATCTAGTCGTAATTTCTCGTAATTTGAGAAACCTTGCCCTGACACTGTATTCTTGTCTATCTGGGTTTATGTCTGTGGGTTTCTTTAGTGGCAGAAGCAGGATCAGTGAGGGTGACAGAAGGTTTATAATGAACCATTGGCTATCTTCTCTATCCCCCCTTTCTCTCTCTCTGGTCCCATCTGTCTGGTTGTCATTCGCTCGTTTCGTTTATTCAAGGAAGTTTCAACACTTCTGGTATTGATTTATCACACATTTTTCGATAAGATAAGCTAAGATATAAGAAGGTGCAATGAAACATTATCTTGGAGGTTAGCATCAGCCATCCTGATGGAAGGCATAAAAGACGATTAAGAGAGAATAGTTTCGTTTTGGAGGCATTCAAATTAACAAGCCATTTTTGGCCCCAAATTGGAGGTGATACTGATCTTCACGGTCATCGTGTGTAGACACCAGTATGCTTGGTGGTAATCAGATTTTACGAGCATTTCGCTCAGTGGTCGTGAAATACAGCGATCTGTGGTAAGTTGTTTGTCACTGCTGAAAAACCAATATCATAGAAGAAACCAACAAATTCTGTTGATAACTGACAACAGACTTCTTTTTTATGTAGCCCGGTTTTTGTGCAGGCTAAGTTTTCTAGTAGTAATTCGTTGATAAATAAGGGACCTTGATACTGGTCTTGTCTATTTGGGATCGTCTCTGTGTGTTATTTAGCAGCAGAAGCAATGGCAACAGACGGAAACGATCTAGGATTGCACCTCTTCCTGTCTTCTTGTTTTCCTTTCTTTACCCATATGTGTGATTCTGATTGCATTCGTGGGGTTTATATAGGGATTATATATTGGATAGTAGTTGTTATGAGACCTACCTTTATGGACTAAATGGACTCGTCCTATTACTATATATACGGGGAGATTATGCCTCTCAAGAGAGCTGTCTACAGTTGGCCTGTCCCAGCTAAACAGTCGAACTCTCAGCCTTTAGGCGGAGAGGAACCCGGACGAGGCTCCGCCCTTGAACCCGTTTATGAGGGATTATTTTTGGCCGAGCCTACGGGCTCGAAGATCCCACGTTAAACTGGCCTTGTGCCACATGTAACCCTCGTGGGGGGGGGGTAACTAAATATCGCTGTCTGCAGTTGATCTGTTCCAGCTAAACAGTCGAACTCTCTGCCTTCGGGCGGAGAGGAACCCGGACGAGGCTCCGTCTAAGGGCAGAGTCTCGTTCGGGTAGGTTGACTGCCCCTGAACCCGATTATGCGGGTTCAAAGAGGGATTATTTTTGGCCGAGCCTACGGGCTCGGAGATCCCACGTTAAACCGGCCTTGTGCCACATGTAACCCTCGTGGGGTAACTAAATATCGCTGTCTACAGTTGATGAGTTGACTACTGTACTTTGCCGTCAGTCGAACGTGCAACACTTTTGTATTCGTTCTTTTTGTTTAATATGTTTTCACTAAATTGCTGAGTTCGAGTTTTCTTTCGGACCTATTCTTGGGTCCACAACGGTAGTCAGGCCGAATCCTGAGGCTGAATTTTGGTCACAAAATAAACATTTCTGACTTGTATACGAGTAGCGTGAATTCTTGCTTGGGATTTGGGAAATTGTAGAAGACCATAAATCCTTGTCCTATTTTACCCTGGAGCCGATAGTTAGCTTGTAGTATATCAAGTGTTACGAAATCTTCATGAATTGTATTTGATTTATTTCAGGTTCCCGGAGCCTTCTCATTTTATGACTCTCAATTATTATTTTAATCTGATCTTTCCTTATTCCTGTCTTGGTCGCTTTAACTAGGTGGTTCGCCTAGTTTTGAGGAGGCACGGTGGAGTAATGGATAGCGGATTGGATTGAGGAATATTTGACAAGATTATGAACGACACCAATCAAAGTATTAGCTATGACAGATAGGGAATATTAGAAAGGTGTAGTGAGTTCAATCTCGGCTGAGGCCGCAAGATGATGATGAGGTGGTTCGTCTTGGTCGTGAACACACCTCATCTGAGAAACTCTTCCATCCTGGCCATTAATCTGTGACAAGGAGGTCTTTTGCTCAGTGGTACCGTGTTAACACCACACCCTCACGTGAGTTTAGCACTTGGAGCCATCACGTGAGAGATTTAGATGGTTGAGAATCAGTGATACCCACCCACCCCAAGGTGCGGCGTGCCAGATATCAAAGGTACTACCTCTATTCAACCCCATATATATATATATATATATATATATATATATATATATATATGATATAAAATATAAAAAATAAAAAAGGCTTAAACACTAATAATTTTAAACACTAATAATTTTTATATCCTTACTCTGTCCTAGTTCTACCTGGATTCCATCCCCTTCGAATTATTTTATATATATATATGTATGTGTATGTATGTATATATATTTATATAGTTTAGATATGTGATTGCATATGTATGTGTATATTAACCACTAATATTATCTATCTATCTATCTATAGTGATTTTCCAAGCGTAGTTTAGATGTGGCACAAGGCCGAAAGTATGGGGCAGAGAGTATCGAACTCACTACTCTGTCGTAATTATTCTAGCTTGTTAACCATTACACCTCCTCGTGATGCCATTTTGTGGGACGCCGACCAAAAAGTGAATGAATACCTTTCCCAAAGACAATAGTGCGAAATGTTTAATGCCTGTTTTTCTTGTCAAGAAAATATGTCATAACCGCTTCCACTTCTGTGTTTCTGTGTTTTCCAGACAAAAGTTCTGCTTATGCGAGCGCTTTCAGCTATTTTTTTTAGCTATTATCAATTACAATTTTTATTTTTTATTTTAACTGAATGTGTGTGTGTGTTTTTTTATGTATGTGTTTAAAGGTATGGGAATGTTTCATTTTCCAAACACGGTCACCCCATTGTGGCCGTGTTTATAGTTAATCTCATTGAATGTTGGCTTTTCTTTTTTTTTATTATTATTAGTGCTTCCATTATTTTTAATCTTTTTATACATGTGGGTGAGGTTACTTATGCTTGTATTTCTGCTAGTATGTTGCGGAAGGAGTTTGGTAGGTTTCCGTGTATGTTTAAATGTCCGAATTAAGCTACGATAGGGTAGGTGTAACATGAGTCGTCTAGATATGCATGTAGTAGTATGACCAATATAATTTCCATATTTTCTGTTAATCCATGTACTTTTGATCTTCTCCGAGATCATCCTCAGGGGTGAATTGACGCCCCAAACTCAATTTGTCGGATACAAATTCTATCACACAATATTTAAAGACACATTCCTGTCCACCCTCACAGTACAGGAAAATACTTGTTGACAACACCAATATACTACACCACGAAAATAATAAACTTCAAATTCTCGAGGCCCTCTATATCAAGAGTAATGTTGCATTTTACCATCTATGGTTACCCCCTTGTATTGTGAACGCTTGTTTACAAAACATCATAACCACAATGGTTAATTTTAAGATAATTATAAGAGAGTGTGTTCACGCGTGTTTACACAAATCAGCATCACAACGATTACAGTTACATTAAATTTGTCTTCGAAATTCACCCCTGAGAATGATCTCGTAGGAGATCGAAAGTACTTGGATTAACAAAAAATACGGCGCCTTCCCTGATGAATTTCAACATAACATCAATAAGATAATTAGACAACTAGATAAGACTATTATAAAAATAAATAGGCATAATATGTCTATATTATTTAACAAAATATGCTGGAATCAAGTGTGTATATATATGTGTGTGTGTGTGTGCAAATATATAGAAAAATAGGAAAGAACTGTTAGGTTAATAATCCGAAGTTCTTTAGTATTTTTGTTTTTATTTTTAAAAAACAGTGCTCAATACCTAAATTATAATTATTTTTTAAAAATATGATTCCATCGTTACATAAGAGTTCTCATGTTCCAAAAACAGAAGCTAAAAACCAGCTCTGTTTCATCCTCAATATTATATATATATATATATAATTTTTATAATATTATATATATATATATATGTATATTCCTATAGACAAAAACCTTTTACTCACTACAAAGATGCAACTTTGTTTCAGTGCATTTAATTGCACTTCGACTGATAAGAAGCAAAATGGTTATGAGCAATTCTGTTTGTACAAACAAAGTTGCATCTATGTAGTGAGTAAATTGTTTTTGTTTATATGAAAAAAATATAATAAATAATTATTGCTCTACTCTCGGTAATGAGCCCTCTTTTGCATTAATGTTGTGAACGTTAAAATTTTCTATTATTTTCGTTCATTACATTTGTGTATATATCATATATATATATATATATATATATATATATATATATATGATAAATAACAAATATGAAACATTTTACTTTTATTAAAGCTTCAACGTCTCCAACGAAGCTTTAATAAAAGTGAAACATATATTGATAAACGTTTATTATGCGATTGTGTCATGCATGAAAGTTGTGTTGCCGGTGAGTAAAATGTATATTTATAATTAATCTATCTATCTATCTATCTATCTATCTATCTATCTATCTATCTATAATAATAATAATAATAATAATAATAATAATATATGTATAAAAAGTGACAAGTGGAAAAACAATACTCAGCCGACGAAACGCGTCCGTTAGGTATAGTTTTTCCTCTTGTCTCTTTTTATTCATTTTGTCTCTTCTACAGGCACACTCTATCTGAGAATATTTACACACACACACAAACACACACACATATATATATATATTTATTTATGTATGTGTGTATGTGTAAATGGAGGGCGTGTAATGCGAAACAAGATACAAGCAGTGCTTGTTATTTGAAGAAAAGAAAATTCAATTCACGTTGATATTGATCACTTCCGGAAACGATAATGGCTTCCATCAACGTCTTGTATTTTGTCTCCACTCTGCGCACCATTTCTTTTTTTTTTTTTTTTTTTTTTTGTTATTCGCTTTGTTCTGGGCTTAATTAATTCTTTCTTTATTTTATTTTCTATATTTATTTATGTACCTTTTTTTTCTCTCGTCTTTCTTCGTTTTGGGCAAAAACAAAATATCGTTTCTATTTTCTTGAACGCCTGTTCATTATTTGTTCGCATTCTTTGATTCGTTTACATTCTTCAATTCTTTCGAGGAGATTTGTACCTGTTAT